AAAAATATTTATATATAAATTATTAATAATAATTATTATTATTATTTAATACCACTTCTGTAGATGATTTATCATTTGCCTCAAAATAAGCCTCACTTTTTTGAATAAACTTTCATTCGATGATATTTCTGACGGATGAACGTTTTTTGAGATATGAGGATGCGGTGGATATGGTTTGAATTATCCCTATACCCACCACTCAATTCACATAGTTATCTCAATGTTGTAATCACCTGTGACACTGTGCCATGCCTTTTGATGGTATTTTGCCTTAAATTACACCATGTACAACTCGAAAATTGAGACCCTAATCTTTTGCGTTTATTTTCGCTTTGAATGAGACTCACAAGTTGCTGACAAATTATGATCGTTTTGGTTTCAGAGCGGAGTGAGGGATCCATTGTCACATTTCGTTGCAAAAATTCTTGTTTATTACGTTTAAGCATGGCCAAACACTGCTGACAGCAATCAATAGTGATCAAACGAGGCAACCACTTTAAGCAGATTTGCTTTAGCACTTTGAAAGCCATGAATTTGCTTGAATGGCATTTTTCCCCATTAAAAAGTGGTGCAGCCTGTGGGGGTATGTAGGTAAAATGTAAAATTTCAGCATAACAGTAAGAGCATGTTTAATACTATTTCTATAAACTAGAAGAAAACCTACAATGAAATCTAGGAGAATTGCTTTAACCCGACCAACGGTTATTCTTCTATAGCTTGACAAAAGTAAAATTTGGTTTTACTACAAAATCACTCTAATAAAGCTTAGGCGTCAAAGATAATTTTTTTCTTATGCTTGATCCGATATCCAATTTTCTCTTTATTTCATTTAAGAAACGAAAATTTACCATGGAAAAATTCAAAGAACATATCCTGCTATGAACTTGGTTATCTATTTTTAAAGGATTTTTTGAAATAAGATAGGTATTATAATATTCCCTCATAACAATAGACCTGAAAGTTTAGCTATTTTTGTCTATACTCGGAGACTAGTACCGACGACTGTTTTCAGAAGTGGATCGATAGACTTGAAAAGTGCATTAAAATTAATGGCAATTATGTAGAGAAGATAAAAAAGAAAATAGATTACGAATAAATAAAAGAAGAATTTTTTTCTGGTAAACTTAACGAACTTTTGTTAATCCCCTCGTATATTGTTAGGCCTATGCATCATCATCTTTCTCGTTCCACCCCAAAGACCCGAATGTGTATATACGACGTTCTCAAGAGCTCGGACTTTCTCATGGGCCATAATGGCGTACTTTACACTTGGACACCTACATACATGAACTTTATACCCAGCTCACCCCACAACTAAAGTCAGCTGACCATTCACAACGACGTACATACATCGATTGGCTGCTTGAACAACAAATAGTAGTAATAGGAAGTTATACCGAAAAGAACTTACTGCCTGAAGCAATTTTTGGTCTCGAGGTGTGATTGGGCGTTACTTCTTAGAAAACGACAACAGTGCGACTATCATCTTCAAATGAAAAACACGACTTGGATAATATGTGGTCTCAAAAAGAAGACCAACACAACACGAGCGAATATATCTTTATTGCGAGTGAAATTTTCCGCCCACGTAATCTCTCGTCGTGAAAATATCGATTGGCCACAGAGATCGTGCGATTTGACGCAGTTGGATTTTTATATGGTGTTAAGCGAAAGAGCGTGTTAGTGCCAAAAAAACCGTTAACTCTAGAGCACTTGAAAACCTACTTTCAAATTATGCTGAGATACCGTCCAATATGCGCTAAAAAGTAGTGGAGAATTACCTCAAACGGATCGAAGTTACAAAAATGCGCGGGCATTTAAATGATTTTATATTTCACAAATAAAACCAAGGTCCAATCTTTATGATTGAATAACTGCAAAACGGGTAACGATGTATTATTCGATAGCTGATAGCACAGCTTATGATGGAAACGTCAGCAATTTTTTTTATTTGTTGAGTACAGATTCTGAAACTGGAAAAAATTAAAAAAGTGCCAAACAAGCCCATAAAATTAGAAACGGCGAAACTAAAAAAAATACCGTCATTAAGACGTTCAGTTTTTGCATGAATGCACATGATTTGAAAACATAGTAATAATAACAAGCCCAACGAATACCCTCCACCCGCCCAACCAACACGAGAGGCGACATGCGCATAACGGGTTATGGAATATGCCGAGTCCAGATTGGGAATCGTTTGTTAAGTATCGAGATTCAGAACTGTTCAGCTACAGCGAAAGTACTGAAATTTCTTAATTCATTTATTCTAAAATTTAATTGTTGAGAGAGTAAGAATAGTGTTTTTGAAGCTAAAAAGTAAGTCTGAGAGTTCGAATGTGCTGGAATGAAAATTAAAATTGTGGGTCAATCGGCGATAGGGTTCATTCAGTTCATAATTTGGTTTACATGCCTTTAATAGTAAGGGCCTAAACTGCCAAGATACCCGAGTTGAAACATTAAGCACATCTTACCCTTCTTAAGGTTCAAAGGCATGTCGTTGTTATCACACCAGATAGCTAAATTGTCTAGATCGTTTTGTCTTGCGTCGCATGAGGTATATGACATAAAAATTTTGAAATCATCGGCATATAACAAGATGTTTGAATGCTTTGTTACCGAAGAAACATATGAATATCTCAATTATGAATAATAGAAACAGAATCATGCCGAGATAGCTACCTTGATGAACTTTTGATGAGACATTAATTAATTGTGATAAAGTGCTTTTAAATGTTATCTGTGGTGTTCTATTGCAAAGATACGAGGAACCCCATTAAAAAATGCTGGTTGGGCTCTCAGATGTAGTTCATGGATGAGAATTGATTGATTGACCCTATCGAATGCTTTACTGAAGTCGGTGTAGATAAAGTCAGTTTGCTTATTATCCCTAAAGGCTTTAGAGATATGTGACACAAATTCAAGCTAATTGTAAGTGGTTATTTTCCTTAACAAAAGCCGTCTTAGGAATTGGATAGTAGTGAGGAGATCGAAAACGTTATCTAACTAGTAATGATGGCTTCAAAAACCTTTGGTATAGTGGCTATTTGCGCAATACCTCTCTAATTCTCAATATTAGATCTATAACCACTCCCTACATATGGGCACTATATCACAAAAAAAGTAATTTTTCTTATTTTACGGTAGTGCATAATTTTATCGTAACATACTCGTATATAAGAGATTTATCAATGTCAAATCTTCTTCTTCTTTAATCATCCTCTATCCATTTAGTAAAATATACAACTATGAAAAAACAAACTTCATTTTACAAAGTTTAGATAAATTATATCCGATGAATCGATTTCGGTAATACACTTCCTCGATTTGTGGCGATCATCCCGATGATATCCCAGAACAAAAAGGGACCTACATTTTGTTCTAATCCGCTTTCGAATCATATTTCATACATTCAGAGTGTTTGGCATTTCCTGTTATGTTCTACTCCAAAGCTTTTTTGCGTAGATTCAGAATCACTCTTTTCTACACAACGAAGAAATTTGAGTAATAAAATTATATATTAATAAATAAATATTTTAGTAATCTGTCATAAATTTATTCATAACCCAAATTTTGTAAATAACGGCATGTCTTATAGGTATGTACATACGTCATGTATATTTATAGGCATTTATATTTTGTATTAGTGAATACAATCAATACGCATCAGGGTGAACGTTATCAGTACATACGAGTAGTCAACGGCAGAGTTAATCTCTATTTTTCGCAATTTAAACACGATAATTGCCCCTCCCACCACTCATTGTGTCATATTCGAGTCAATTGTTGTAGCTGCAAACTCTTTAAAGTTTTCCATGTCCGAACATGTGCCAGCAAAATGCAATCATGTATTTGGCAACAAATGTTGAAACACGTGTTTGCGCTTTCAACACCAGCAATCAGCAGAGCGGAGCAGAGCGGCGCACGGAGAGAATCATCGACAAACGAGAATGACAGAAATTGCAACAAGAACACGAGCGACAAGAAAAACTCGTGTGCAAGTGCAATTTGTCCAGAATGTTACTAATTTATTTGCCATGTTCGCAAATACCACACTACACCACACTATACCACACTGCCGACTGCCTACTGCCCCCTGTATCCAGTCTTCAGCCGCCGGACCCTTGCAGCAAGGCGCTTTGCTTAATGGCCGGCCAATGTTGCCTCTTGCCATACTACTAGTGTGGCATGCCACATTCTATAAAAGCGCAATGCATGTACTTGTGTGACCAAGTACAGAAATGTGTTGGAACTGAACAGGATGGATTGTTGCATTGGTCAGTTGGCCTCCAGTCTTATGAGGCGATGGGCGGAGGGAAAGGAAGGACTGTTGCATGAGATGGATGAAGTTGTAGTTTGTTTGTACTTAACTGTGCAACACAACAATGCAACCAACCAGCGAGGCGAAATGCCTTCTTCATGTTGCAACTAATGCATTTATGATGTGTCAGCTGCCGGCATGTCCTTTCACATGCACCACCAGACAGCAACGCATTTATCCTTCGGGTCAGCAGCAGCGTCAACATAACAATACTGAGTCGGCGTCAATGGCAGAAACAACGTACACAAATCTCGGCATTTGCGGTTGCGCGAGCACACGAACCCAATGACGTACCAGTGGAGAAACGGCTGGACGGACATGGGAGTTGCGTGTTTCAGGTGCTGCACATTTTGAACATGACAACCCGGTAGCAACAACAACATACATCAATAGGCAACAACGGGCAGCAAAGTCTCCCACACCAACCCATTGAACAATCCAGTTGAACAGTTAACCAGTTGACCAGTTCACCAGCGTTGGCGGTCAAGACACAGCTGCTGGTCAAATTTCGTAACATTTTCGGTTGGTAGTGAAGAGCAAAACATTGTTGCCCACTGCAGGCATTTCCCTTTTTGTTCATGTTGCGGTGCCAGTGGCAAACTTGTCCAAACAGAACACTACTACCACGCGCTAATTACAACATTGCTCATTTACAATTTTACCCTCTTCCTTCTCATTTCAGCAAATTCCTCATCCAACTCCTCTTCCGCAAAGGACTCAACCAACAGCAACAATCCACACATAAACGGGTGTACTAGTGCGAACAGTGCCAGCGGGGTGAGCAACTCTAATACGACCAGCTCAAATCCGAACGGCAACGGTGCACGCAGCTGTCGCACACCCGACTCCCCGGAGAGCGTTCGTGCTATTGCGCCACGTTCACCCATGTCACCGCAATTGCATCACTCTAGCTTGGCACCACCACCACCGCGCCCGAATCGTAACGCCAGCGCTTCACCGGTGGTAAATGGAGCCACAACCACGACAACACCGCCCCCTTTGCCCACTCCACCCACACAGGCGGCATTGGCAGCAGCAGCTGCTGCAGCAACTGCCGCTGCTGTGCATGCCGAGCAAGCGCGTCTTCTAAGTAAAATACGTAAATTTCTCGGTTCCCTGGTACAGTTGGCGCAAGAGGTTCATCCCGAAGTGAGCGATCGCGTGCGTGCTTTGGTACTCTCTCTGGTCAGTGGTAGTATAAGCATCGAGGAGTTTCGTCTGACGCTTCAGGAAACCATTAATTTGCCACTGCGACCATATGTCATTCCATTACTCAAAAATCACATCTCTCTTCTGCAAAGGGAAATCGCTGAATTAGCTCGTGCCAACAACCAGGTAAGCTGCACATTTCCCATTGGTATCTAAATACAAATGCTTAATTTGGACTCTGCAGACTACCCTACAATATGTCACAACCAATGAGAATGTTGTAATGGAATTCTCTCCACACGGGCCATCAGCTGAATATAGTGACATGTTTGTACACATCGATGCAGCACAGGCTGCAGCGGCAGCAGTCGCGGCTCAAGCTGCGGCGTCCAACGTCGCCGGTACCACCAACCTTGTCTTTAAACGGCGAGCCTCGGACACTTTGATGGAACATCACAACGGAGTACAAGACTGGAACGACTACATGGCTGCTTATCCACCCGCCAAGCGAGCTTTGCACGCACATTCCGCTCACTTGGGTAGCGGATCTGCAGATGCTCGTCTCGCATTTTCCAATCAGCCAACGATTTTTGATTACTCATCAGCAACAAGTAATGCGTCGGCTGCAACTCAATCAGAAAATACTTTTAATAGTCTAATGGAAAAGGTAAGCGCGTTGATTAGTTAGTTAATTGGTTTTGTTGGATCATACAGTACAAATGAATGTAAATTTCTCAGGCAAATCACCGCGAAGATCGCGATTTACGAGTCAATACTGGATCCGAGTCCACATCGCAACGGCATCCACCTAGGGCTGGCCTGCCAAACACAAGCAGTACCGCTGGCGGTGGTGGCAGCAACAATGCAACACTCGGCGGTGAAGAAGAATGGAAGAATATACACACCATGTTGAATTGCATTTCAGCAATGGTGGATAAGACCAAGCGCGCCATAACGATTTTGCAGCAACGAGGCGTGGAACCACAACAACCCAGCTACGGCGAGGTTACGCCAGCAACTTTAGTTGAAATACGGCGACAGACAGAAGAAAAGGTGGCCGAATTCAAGCGGAATGCCGAGGAAGCTGTCAATCAGGTATGCAGCTATTTGGTGTATAAGTTTGTAGCATATTCTAAGGTCGCTCTGTTCATATTAGGTTAAACGACAAGCTGTGATCGAGATACAGCGCGCGGTGGTCGCAGCGGAGACACGCGCTTCCGAAGTGATGGCCCAAGAAAGGCTACGTATGGAAAAATTCTTCGTCGAAATGAGTCGCCATTCAAGTGCAGTACACAATACGAGTGCGGCCGTAGCGGGAGTTGCCACAACAGCAGTAGCAGCCGAGCGTGAAATGGACAACAAGTCTCCGTCAATTACGGCAGGACAGAATGTAAGTTGAATTAATTGGCGTCCCACAATCGCATTATCTCTTTTCAACCAATTTTTCATTAAAGGCCTGCTGGAATTGTGGACGCAAAGCAACCGAAACCTGTTCTGGCTGCAACTTGGCTCGTTACTGCGGCGCATTTTGCCAGCATAAGGATTGGGAGCACCATCATCAGGTAGGAAAGGGGCAAATTTCTTAAAATTTTGTGAATTTAATTAGTCTTATATAGATGTATGTACATATATATGAGTATATTTGTAAACACATACATGTATATGTATATATTTTTCTAAGTAGAAGAATATTCATCTCATCTGGGACTATTAATATTTTTACACACAGATTTGCGGCACTACACGCTCCTCAGACCTCTCTGCAAAACACAGTGTCTCCCAGGGAATTCCACTAACAGCAACCATGCGCGGCTCCATCTCTAGATCCTCGCCCAACCAACCACAGACATCGCAACCAACGGCTCAGGTGCCGCAGCCGCAGAACTCGGGGGGTGGCAACGTGTCACAACCGAGTTCCCTGGTGGCGAATGGAGTCGGCTCCAAATGACGCATTCGCATGATGAAGCCGAAGAAGAAATACTTGTGCTAGTCAAATTAAACTAAAAATTATTCATAAATCAATTAGATTAAACTCTAACATAATCAATATTTATTAATTACACAATTATGTATAAAAATCAGTGAGGAAATTGAGGTGAGAAAACTGAGAAAGTAAAGAATTTTAATTAAATCAGCACAACAATATCAAATCCATAATCAAAATAGAGTTTAAATATAATATTTATTAAAAAAATTAAAAAATTAACAAAAAAAAAACAATAGTGAGAAAATAAAAAAAGAAAATTTTAATGTTTCAAATTTGATAAATTACTGAAAAGTCTTCAAACTTTAATGTTGTTGAGTCATCTACGCACAGGAACCTAAAATGTATTTAACAGTAAAGTTGCACCCATAGAGAAAAGTAAAAAATCCGTTTGATTTCAGTGGTTGCAAATTTAAAATAGCCCAAAGTATTGACTCAATAGTAAAAAGTTATCATAAAAAACGAAACAAATTTAGTAAAACTAATATAACAGTAATTAATCTGAGAGTGAAAAAACCAAAAATTATAATTAAAAAACAAAGAAACTGATATATCGTAATTTTTAGTAATTTATTTAATACGTATTATATACTTACATATTTAAATAATCTTAAATGTATTAATTTATGTTATCGCTCAATAAAATTAAATGAATATTAAATTATAATGAAAATCAAAGAAATGAGAAAAACAATAATGTTTTAATTCGTTGATATTTTTGAAAGGTAAGTGTGTGCCAAGGTGGCTGCGGAAAGTATTTTCAATAATTACGCGGGAGCTCAATCTCTCCCTCCAACAAATCAACTTCCACTAGGGATCTTTCCACTGCATGGCAGGCCTTTCTCAACTTAAAATGGGGTACTGCATGGAAGGGTAACAAATCTGATTTCATATCGTCTTTCCTATCACCTTTCGACTATTTCTGCTGAAACTGAAAGAAAAAAAATATAATTTTTCAAAAGTTAGACAAAAAATGGGACAGTACAATAGCTGAAAGTTGGTAGGATTCTTCATATTACTATCATAGATTAAATCTAAGTAGTCCGACACCTGCAAAAAGTCCAGTTCGGTCTCGTAGAGGTCATCATTCCATCGGCTACAAAACTTTTCTCCATAAAACTTCCAATGCCGACTTATCAGATGTTGTTATCGTCCATGCCTTTGGACCATATAGCAGAACCCTAATCATGAACGACTTATTTTGTAAATAAATTTCTACTGGCTAAGTGGATGAATAAGATTCATAGGGAATGAAAATCGAATGTCTATAACTTCATCTCGAAAGCTCTATTTAAATTGGCAATCATTTGAAAGCCAGTAAATTTACTTCAGAATCGAGGCACAGGGCTTGGAAGAAACATTAAGAACAGCCTTACCCTGTTGAAAAGTTAATTAAGTTATTAAAGCTAATAAAGCCACAATATAACCGCTTATGCTTTCTCTCCGAGTTTAAAAGTGAAGTATTCATGGGGTGTTTATAGAATTTAATTCAGCCGAGAATTTTGAAAAAATATTTTTCGAACGAATCATGTAGCTTCTTGCGTTCTTGGTCCTCTAAGTTCAGCTCATCCCATCACATGATGTATCTAGCTCCTGACGTCAATCATCTGCCGTATCTGACTAGTCATGATATACCTAATTTTCTTACGGAGATATATACACACAACTTACGGAGGTTAAAATGGTTTCTATTCTATTTGCTAATTAATGTGATCTGGTAACCTCCTCTCTCTTTTTGAGGAGTAAATTGCGCAGCCTACTCTCTCGTCGAGTTATCTTCAATCATCCCTGCTAAGAACTTTTTGTGGAGAAGAAACTATCAAAGCGAAAAAAAGAGTAGGTCGAGTCTATCTCTTTTAAAAGATGTGTCAATATTTGGAACATTATCTACACTGCGGCCTCTTAAAAGCATCAATCAATACATAACTGTAGATTCTGAACTCTATTTAGTTTGCCAATAGCAGCTCTAAAAGGGTATTTCGGCTACAGTTGTGCAGAGTTTTAAATTGAAGGTCCAATGCCGGCTGGCTTTACTTGCTTTGATGGTGAGCACAGAATAGAACTTTACTAGAATGTAAGAAAAGAGATCAAATGTAGCTTCGCTTTAAAAACAAGAAGCACTGCGAAGTTTTCATTAAGTTTATGTACGAGTATGTTCTATTATCTGTGATTTTGACAGTAGATACTGTAACGGCGGTTGCGGATTTGGCCGAAATGTATCAATTTTCGTAGCGCTTGAAGCATTCCTTTAGTCACAACAGCACTCAAAGTTAGATTACTCAAGAAAAACCCGCTCACAGCCAGTTCGCAGAGGGCCAGGTTTTGCAGGATGTGTTTCTCGACGTGAAAGAAGCATGCTAAATCATCATATCCAGTGCTGCGTATGTGAGATACCACGTGAGCGGGGGAAGGAATAGTTCCTTGAAGAGTGACTCAAAAGCCTCCTTATCTCAAGCAAAAGGACTTTATTCCTCTGAAGCGGTGAATAAACAATACAAATTCCACACTGGATTCAGCTTCTTTTTAAAATTTCATTTAAAATTAGTACGGGAATTATTCTTAAGCAGAATCGAGGGAAAACGTTTAATATTGTCGGTACATACAATTTTAATCGCCGAAATGTACTTACAACCGTGTTTGTTTGCATGTACGACGAGCACACATATCATATATGTACATATGTATGTAGATATGTATGAATGGAGCAACCACTTCGTTTAACACATATCCAATTTACTTCAAAAATGACAATAAACTAAAATATTGAAATGCCGGTGACAGCAGTTTTGCCGTACCAGCAACAATTTGCAAATTTTTTCTGCAATGGAAATGGCAGTGCACAGGTAAACAAAAGACGCTGCCAACCGCAGGAAAAGCACGCAAATACAATAACAAAGCCTTGAGGAACAATGACACAAAATGATGGCAAAGAACGAAAGCACAACAAAGGACATCATCGGTAAGCCCACATACATACATAGATGCACAAACAGACAAACATCTGTCACTCGCATTCTTATGGAATGCACAAATATACAGGTTATATCATATTGTACACATATGTATGTATGTATATGTGCATAAGTAAGAACAGCGACAGAAACGCCAAAAGGAACGTCAGCAACAGTTCGACAGCAAGCTTTGTAACTCACAAGAGTACATACATACATATGTAAGGACATACAGCCTGTTAATATGTGCGAATATTCTGCACAATTGCGATAGGAAATTTAACACTGTAAATTAAGTTCCATTCGAACTTCTTTCTCATTTCACTTCTTTGCTCAACTCAGCGATGGTTAAAGAATGAAATATACCAAACAAAGCTGAATATATCTTCCCTGCGGTACTCAGCGATCGTGACATCGAGCTCTTCGCGAATATTCTTAGAGCCACACTCCTCTAAATGAATAAAAAACCGTTCGAGACAATCGACATTCGACAGATAAGCCAATGCCTCTCATTTCAGTTATGAAAGGAGGAGGAGGAGAATCTTATCAATCAAATCTGAATAAGTTGCAGTTGGCGCTGCTACAAATTAAACATCTGAGTTGTGTCTAAGTTGCATTGGTCTAGCGAGACTTCATCCACTAGGAGTTGATCATGGTCTCCGTTGGCGTCATTAACGGTGGAAAGTTCTTGTAGTTTTCTTTGTGAATGAGGACACTCCATGTGAGTGAGCAAGTTGTCGAGCTAAAGCGTTCCCATTAGTTCTGCTTTACTGAGTCCGTATAATCGAGAACGTATCTTATGATACGACTGGAAAACAGTATCTATCTTAGATAGCTTAGCAGCTACTGCTTCTAGATGGGAGATTTCTAAGCGCAACTGTATAGCTTTTCTGTACATACAATACATATGTATTAGAGATGGGCACTAGTGTCTTGTCCTTTCTTGCGGTGTTTGTTACTCACGGTTGTACCGCAGAAAATACTATTCTATTGCAGTCGGGTGTTATGGCTGTACGGTATATAAGATGGGTAGTTGCAGCATAACTCGGCACTAATTGGTGTATAAATGCAGCAGCAAAAATCCTATTTTGAATCAATTAAAATACAAAATCGGAGCAAGAAATTTATAGAGAGAAGATAAACGGTAAAGAAACAATCTTGCAAAAAAATGGATTAAGCGCTCGATTACCAACAGCACACAATACATATTATTTTAGCGGTTACAAATTTACAAAATCAATTTTTTTGTTGTCTTAGATATACCAAATAAAAACCTGCCGCACAGTGTAGTCATCATAAAATGAACAATAGAAAAGAAAACGGTTAAACAAACACAATATAATTTTCTGCTTTAGTATGCGTGCATGAAAACGGTATAATATAAATGCGGTCTACCAGTAGTTCCGGTGCACTAATGCCCATCCCTAATAAATACATAATTTTATAAAACCAAACTACTGATTCTCATATTCGTCCTTTGATCGTGTCTGTCGGGTTTTCCGTCTGTATGTTCAACTGTTTTACATACCACTTTTATCCCTCTGGCTATGGGCGATAACATGCGATAAATGCATGTAAAACAGTGAATGAAATGACAGACGAGAGAACAATTCATATACAAAACGTTGTGTTGAACACGAGAGGCGAGCAGTGTGCTCATGAGTACATCATTTATACGGATTACATACATACATACATATGAGAATGTACATGATAGTTGGATAAACTTTTGCATATTCACTCAAGTGTCAAAAACCACCAAAACAGGTACTAAACACGAACACAAGAGCCACTCAGGTAGTAAATTTCCTTGTAAACGAAATGCTGGGGGTGATATAAAGCAAAAAATTTCTTGCACAAACACATGCTTTTTATGCACAGGTTGCATGTATTTATGTGTTTAAGAAAAACAGATCTGCACAGTATATTTATCGAGAATCTACGGAAATATATTAATATTTCTTATTTACATAAAATCGCAAGGAGCTTCATATTAAGGCCAAGCACGAATTTTTATTTCAGAGAAATTTTTATGCCACTCCATCCACGTGTTGGTCGAAGCAACGGCGTATCCGTTTACTGAAATCGTAAATTTTTCGTTATATGCATACACGCTTACAAAAAAGTTGAGTGCGATTCACTCATTTTCAACAAATTATTTCGATATTACTTAGAAACTCCTACTCAGGGATACTCTTTTCAGTATAATCTCGCAACTCTTTTGGAGGGTGAGCTAGTGACCGATGCCCAGAGTATACTGAATGTAGTGAGGGAACACTTCTCCAACCTGCTGAACGGCAGTGAAAATGAAACAAAAAGACCCATCTTTTCGTCGGTTTTAAAGCAGCGTTCGATCACGAACAGGAGCTGCCTCTATGCCGCTATGTCTGAATTGGGAAGGATCACTCCGAGCTATACGATACCAGAAGAGGTTTCAGATAGGGTAAATCTTTATCGTGTGATTTCTTCAAATTGATGCTGGAGAATCTGAATAGAAAAGGTACAATGTTTTATAAAAGCTTACAAATACTGCCGTACGCCGATGATATTGGCATTATTGGCACCATTCTGCTCTCTCCAGGCTTGAAGCGGAGCGAACG